CCCTGGGCGGGACCCAGAAAGAAATGTGTAAACGCCAGAAATCAAAAAAAATAATAATAATAATAATAATAATAATAATAATAATAATAATAATAATAATAATAATAATAGTAATAATGTGGAGAATGAAGACTGAGACTGTACCAATTAGTAATCGGCCCTCTGGGTCTTGTGAGAAAAGGAATGGTCAATTTAACTAAGTGTCCCAGGTAACATCAACATACAAGCTTCCCAGAAGATCGCCCTTCTAGAAACATCCTGTATACTAAAAGAAAGTGCTATGAATTAAACGACAATTCTCCTATAGGGCCTAAGGATCACAGTTTGGACCCGGCTCTACAGGATACAAAACAGGAAGTATAACATACACAAATAATAATAATAATAATAATAATAATAATAATAATAATAATAATAATAATATATATATATATTTGAAGATCTTTAAAAAATATATCAAAATATATGGATCTTGAATTGAAGTTCTCAAAAATGTATCGCATGAAAACATCAATAATTCCATTTGTTGTTAGGATTCAGGGTTTGATTGGAAAAAGGTTCTGATAGACTTATTGAAGGGAGCCTTGGTAGTCCATACCTTAAAGAAATAAAAAAAAAAAAATTCTCACAAGTACAGCTCACATCTTACGAAGTGCTTTATCTATGTTAAATATGTATGATCTTAGGTTTTTTTATTTTTATTTATTTATTTATTTTTTTTTTACAAAAATGTTCAGTGGAAAAGTTCATGATGCCATTTCTGATCTTAGTTCTCTGATTGGAACCCGAAAACAAATAAGTATACAACAGAAATCAAAGAAATAATAATAATAATAATAATAATAATAATAATAATAACAAAGAGAGACATTTCTATATTTGGTTTTTAAGAAGAAATAATTTTTCATTACATGGAAAGACACTTTCAGTTTTTTTAACACGTAGTAAGTTTTATTAATTTATTTTGACGCTTCAAAACACGCCTCTCCAATACACACGTATGCAGATGTAAGGTTGTAATAGTGGCCCATAGGCCATTGGCACCATTGCACACTCGGCGATCGAAACCAGAACATGCTAGGATTTCGAAAGCTGATTTTCAAGGCTACAAAATGGCTACAATATATACAAGCAAATACGCATACACGCATGAGCAAGAAAAATGTACTAAAATTTACAGTATACTGAAAAACTATAAAATCTAAATTAAAGTTGTTTCATCGCTAACCAATATATATATATATATATATATATATATATATATATCGCACATTTAGTGCTGGTGTTAATAAAACATTGTTCGATGTAATACAACAGAGCTATTAAGTATATAATAATAAATATACATATTATCTCTCGCCGATAGCACGACTCGGAGTTTCATGCACAACGCAATCTTCAGGTGTTGACTGTTACGTAATTTAAATTTTAATAAAAAATATCATCGCAATGTTGGCTCAGTGTTATATATTATACTGAGATTAAAGTTTTTTTAATTTTAAAGCTTCATTTGTCATTTAAAATAAACGAGATTTATATATATGTAAAAAAAAAAAACAACTTATTTTAGAGTTGGGAATATTAATTTTTTTATATTAAGCATAAAGGGAGATTACTTCTTCTTTAAAAAAACAACCATAAATTACATTTAAAAAATTAATCTGGATCAACATATTTAAGCAGATATTTATTTTTATGTCTACATGTAACCATAAATACATTTATTTCTCTTGTTTAATAAGCTACGGTTATTTAAGTGTTTTAAGATAACTAATCTTTAAGTAAGACATAAATTACATCTATTGCTTTTCGCATTGTAAGATTTGGCTCTTGCAACAATATCCCAGGTGATAATAGGTGTTTTAGCACCATTCTTTAATTACCAGAAATGTTTAGAGAGAGCTGTGCTTTGTATTTTATCTTGCCTAAAGTCATTCAATGATGGTAGAAACGAAATTTCCAAGTATTTAACATTGTTACAGGAATGTATGTTAGCTCAGTATACAATATTATCATTCATACATTGGCCGTTTAAGGGACAGATCATATTTTTTCGGCAGTTGCATTTATTTTCTTAAAAGTTAACGTTGTAAACGTTAGAAATATATTTACTTGATATAATGTTGTTATGTTGGGATATAAATTTATCGATTTTACTAACGCAGCTATAGCCGATCTTAACATTATTTTTGCTAAAAATCTTTTTTTTTATTGTTGGTGAATGATTAAAATGCTTAAGAATGAAATTTAGGAAAAAATTGTGTGTTGTTTAGGAAATTTGCTTTGTGGTTTTTAACTGTGATGAATGTTTGTTGTTTGTGGAATTTGTTGTGCTATCGGTGAAGGATAATATATATATATATATATATATATATATATATATATCTAATAAACTCTTAATCTGTAGCACTCTACCTTGCGTGGCTCTTGGGCCTTGTATTGGGGAAAATTATATATTTGAGAGAGAGGGGAAGAGTGTACTGGAAAATCGGCCTAAAAAAGATTTTAGTGTTCCACTTAAAACTTTGTGTACTTGTAAACATTTGCAGTGACATTATGCAATATATCCTTCTATCCTTTCCCTCCAACCCCACCTATCTCTCTCTCAGTCTCTCTCTCTCTCAGTCTCTCTCTCTCTCTCTCTCTCTCTATCTATATATATATATATATATATATATATATATATATAAAAAAAAGAGAGAAACATTTTTCGTTGTAATAAAATATACTTTTTTAATAATACTTTTTAAAATATACACTTTTCTCTCGTTGGAACAACTATAACCGCTTTCCTATATATATATATATATATATATATATATATATACATATATATGCATGATTATTCTTCTTCTATGTGCCATGTCCCATTAGGACGTAGGCGATCATGGCTCTCCAGAATTTCCTGTCCTTTGTAGCTCTAAATACGTTTTTACCATTTGTTATCTCTTCTAAACCCAGTTCTGTCATCCATTTATTCAAGCTTGCTAGGTTTATTTTCCTCTGTTACTCCTGCCTTCATTATGTCCTCAGTATCAAATTAATCGGTCCATGGTATTCTCAGCATCCTTCTGTAGAACATCATTTCTGTTGCTTCAAGTCTCTTCTTCATCTGTAAGCAGATAGTCCAACATTCACTGTCATAGAGGAGGACAGATGTTACGCATTGTTTAAAATTTGTTACGTTTGTGAGAGAACGCACAATATCGGGGATAGAAGGGTTGTACAGAAAACAGTGTGGACATCATTATTATTGTTGTTTGAAGATGGCTTAGGTCTCTATGCTATGTTGATTTCTATACTTATACTGTTTATATCTATATGCAGACACACTTACACACAACACACACACACACACATATATATATATATATATATATATATATATATATATATATATATATATATATATATAAAGTGAACATTGAAGTCAACACTTAGCGATTGCGTCTAGCATGAAATATCCTGTGCCTCCAACTGTTGATTTCAATGTTTACATACGTTCTGTCTCTGATATTGAGCACTTTATCCCATAAATATAGCACACCTTAAGACTATATTTCTTCATATATATATATATATATATATATATATATATATATATATATATATATATATATATATATATATATAGTTTTAAATAAAAGAAAGTTCGGTGAATACCATACCGATCAAATTCACCTTGATTAAATATATGTAATTAAAAAATAGATAAATAAATAAAAAACGCTTATTTTCTTTAATGTGGTTACGTTATTTAGAGGTGCACTGTAGAAAGTTATGATCGTCTGAAGGCACTCGGTATGCAAATGAGGAAAACTATATACTTTCTAACAGTTTTATCAGTCTGAATTAAATCAAATTATCAGACTATTTCTTTCCTGTTTGCAAAATAGATTCGCAGTATTTAAGTAAAGCCACTTAAGCAAAAGATCTCTCTAAAGGATTAATTGCATTTCTCCTTGATTTCACTTTCATGTATTCCATAATTGAAACGTTTATCGAATGGTGGAAAAAGCTTATTTTTTTTAAAAAAAAACGTCGATGCTACATAGACGCGAGCGCACGCATGATTATTTCGTGATTTAAAAGACAATGAGTATCTGTTTGGTTTTACAGCATATTGATTCCCGCCTTTTTCTAAGAAATGATTGGTGAAACCTCCCAGCTGGGGAAGACATTAGAAAGAGCTCCAATCTGTTGGCAGAGACGTAGCAACCGGTGTGTGTGTGTGTGGGGGGGGGGTACCTGCCCCCCGCCATTTTTTTACCAATTGTAGTATTTTTTACAGGTTAACAAAATACAATAAAAAAGAAATACAAGAAAGAAAAAAGAAACTATCAAAGCAAGGAAGAATATAACTTTCATAAAACCGTTTTCCGAAAGGAAATCACATCGAAGTCTCTTATTTGGGAAATTTTTTAAGACACGATCTTTCGAAAAACACTAAAACACATAGTATTGGAATACAGATTGGACAAAATATTATTGTTGTTGTTGTTGTTTTTCAGACCTAAATAAAAACGGACAAAGTAAAAAAAAAAAAGATAATTTTTTCCCTTCATTAACGAATATCTCTTTTCCCTGTAGACATTAAAAAAAAAAAGATGAAAAATTCTTTCATTTGTAACAGAAACGTTTCTCTATTATTTCAAAGATGATTTCTGCCAATCTAAAGGGGAACTGGAAATTTTAAATGTTCTTGCCGTTTACCATGTTGACGATCTTTGATAGCATAAGGCTACATTTTAATTTTTTTTTTTTTGCTAACCAAAAATCTGCTACGATCCTGATTGGCTAAGAAAAGTAATCGATAATCGGGAAAATCAATCACATGAATGCCTAATCAGTTTCTTATATGAAATAACCCAATCCTTTCATGTAACGATATCGATTAATTAAAAAGAATACATGATATTCAATCAGTAACGTTACTATTATATCTGCGTTATACTGTTAAAAATT